TACGGTCTGGAAACTTATAATATAATATGTGACCTAATACTTCGTCATGTATCTGTTCATTTTATAACAAATCGCAGTGGCCACAACTTGACCTTTATCACCTTGGAAATCTTGAACATTTTGGCTATCCTTCTTGTTTTTAACCCTTGCTACTGTTTTCTTTCACTCCCCATGTCAATTCATAAGCGTTGCAATTTGAACTGGAACAATTCAAATGAAACTTCTATTTCGATATCTCTAACCATCTGATAGCTTACGTGATATCTAATTGTATTCATATAATAATAAGTGCGTCGGTGGCATAGCGGTTAGGACGCTCGCCGATCATGCACATGGTCCGGGGTTCGATCCCCGGCCGACGCAATCCTTTACCTCGCTAAGCCAGAAATAATGCTGGTGAAGAGGAAAGGTTGGGCATGAGGCTAGCAACCCCATCCTGTAAAATAAACACTGCTACAGAAACTGCAAGCCTCTAGCCTGAGGCCCTATGTTCCACTGGGGAACATGAAGGAAATAAAATAAACCTAGACTGTATTTTAAACTTATATCAGGAAAAAGGTATAGTTTAGAAGCGGTGTATGATTGTGGTGTGTTTTCTTTAATTAAAAAGACTATCATAATCAAAATGCGTTGGTGGCACAGCGGTAGAATGTTCACCGACCACGCGTGTTGTCTGGGGTTCGATCCCCCGCCGACGCAGTAATAGGAGAGAAGGTTGGGTATGGAGTTAGCAGCCCTATCCTGTAAAAATAAATACCACTGCTACTGAAACCTTAAGCCTTTAGCCTGAAGCCCTATGTTCCACTGGGAACGTAAAGGAATAAAAAAATCAGAATCAAAACACGATAACCTGTATGGTGAACTGTGAAACGATGACGTGAAAAACTTGGAAAAAAAAATGTCTACTACTGATAATGGGATGAGGAGAAATTCCTATTTATATTAAAGAAAAGTTTGTTTATTGCTGTAAAGATTATTTCTTTATTATATATTAAAATTGTAATACACCCTCGATAAGCTTTTACCTTGATAATATTCTTGAGGAAATTATTAACTATCAGTGAATGAAAGCTAAACATTTACTTTCATAAATCATACATGAACTTTTACTTATTTATATTCTGATGAATAAATTTAGACTACCCCCCCCTCCCCTGCAATTAGTAAATATCCTTAGAGAATTCATTTTTCATTATCAGATTGCATGCAGAATGTTTATATACATCTGATAAGCAATGAAGATATAGACAGATCACTGATAATGATATTTAAATGAAGCCTAAAGTATAAGCAAACTAAAAGCGATAAATGAACACTTTGGGGTTCTAGAAAAGGATGTACTTTTGAAAAATTTCTACAGAAACAACAATTATTTCATCCCTTACCTCATTTAATATCTAATATTACGTCATCTTTTTTAATAAGACAGCACAATGCTAACATAGTGTATGGCTCTATGATAAAAAAAAATAACAGTATTCATTGACTGGTATGCATTAGGAATCCATTAAGACTGTTTAATAACACATTAGTTAAGGCAGTTTTAAACTTTAGCATAGTGTCTATCAATACCAGTTGACAGACTAATTTAGTTTTATTTTAAATTTCCTCTTTATTTAATAAGATGTAATTTTTCAAATCAGTAATACAGACAAACTGTTCCCAAAAAGATATTTTGATGAATTGTAAGAGCTGTACAATAAATATTATTAATTACTCATTGGCTAATATATTATAGAAGCTATTTAAAATCATATTTAAACATTCCATGGAGCTTAAAATATTTTTTTATTATGTGTGAAAAAATAGTCAATTAATTAACGAAACCTCACTGGACACTTTACGTCAAATACAGTAAGCTTAGGAAGTATAAATTCCTTCCACTATGTGCGTCAGTGGTTCAGGGGTAAATTGTCAGCTGGCTAGGGAAGTGGTCCGAGTTCTGTTCCTGGCCGACAGTTAGACTGGAAAGGAGGGAAGGTTAGACATGGGGCGGGGAACTCCACCCTGTAAAAGTAATACTGTTACTGAGCATTCAAAGCTTAAAGCTTGAATCCCTATGTTCCACTGGTGACGCCTAAGAATGGGAAATATGTGAACACTATGAGTAATTTAAAATCAGAAATGATCAACATGTATATCACACTCATAAACACTGATTTAATAATATATATAATATATATATATATATATATATGGAAGTGTGTATGTTTTGGTTGAATGGATCTTAATTGAGCTGGCTATCTCTTTTCAAGGCATTCGTTATTATTGGAGTCACTGTTTTTATTACCGGGCCCATCAGACGGGATGGGCACTGCGAATACACGCAGTTCATATTGAATTCTAAAATGACTGTTACTTCAACTTTTGATGTTCACATTATCTATTCAATAACTGATAGATAGGAGTAAAATATGTTCATACAAACAACTACTTCCACTTTTCAGAAAATTTAGTTCAATGGGTACACTCACCGTTTTGTCTCATGTAGTGTTATCATAAATGTTTCATAGAGTTGTGCTTCCTAACTTCCAGCCACTGAGTTACTGGTTCAAGCAACACTGCACCTTGTGAGGTTTGCGCAGCCAGGTGTTATTACTAGCCATCACATTGTAGGTGTGGCTCATTGATAACTGCACGGAAAGACTAATTGTTCTTACCTCATTCTGTTTAATGGTATCTTAAGTTATAAAATGTTCGAATAGAATCTGTGTATCACTTAAAAAATAATTTTGGCAAAGAAAATTTAGGTCATTACCCGTGATTTCAAGGTATTCATTTGACTTTTTCTACTCATATTTTTTAGACTGGTATCAAATTTATTCTCTGACCCCTTTTTTATATATTTGTCTCCGTATATGTCAAAAAGACTTTCGCAGACATTCCAACTCATCAAAAGAAGAAATTAAACTTATACTAAGGTTAGATGTGGAGTCAAGCAATGAAGTTGTGGAGCTACATCGATTGAGATGTCTAGGACATGAATTATTCATGCCTAGCCACAGCCTTCCTAGTCGCACAATATTAACTGTCTTACAATTGTGTTTGACAGGAGTTAGAAATAGTCAAATGAAAAACTGGTGCCAGTACATGAAGTCTTTGACTGTTGAACTGAGTTACAGAGGGAGGTGGACTGTCTACTTAGGGTAGTCGAGACGCTAAGAATGAATAGCTTGAGACTGATGGCGATATTGTCCAATAGCGTGGATATATAATCCGTACAATCCCCTATATACATTAAGTCCTTATATTTTTCCATACTGTTATTCTTTCTCCCATATGTTGATGCTCATTATAGTTCTTTTGAAGTTTTCTTTCTTTTTCTTTACTTTTGTATGCTATATGAAGTGTAGCCGCTTAAACTGTTGCACTTCTATGCAAGGTTCTGAACTGAAACTCATTCTAGTCAGTCTTTTTGTACTAATAGATGTATTCTACTTGATTTTATGAGGTTAGTAATCCTACCCACAAATAAACTTCCACTAAGAAAAGCGAATAGATAATAATTATTATTTGTAAGTAGTTTGGAATAAAGCTATTAATATGATTACTATTACTAGTGATTAAGAATTTTTTTAAATTAAAAACTACATGTGAAGAATGAACAAGTGATAAATTATTGGTGAATTCATTGTATTCTGTGAAATCATGTCAATTTTTTTGATTTAATAGAGAAAGACCGAAAAGTTTTGACTAGATTAATTATAACTTCACTGAACTAAATGAGAACCGTAGTCACTTTGTTATGTCTGCACCTGCCTAATATGCCTATTTGCCCGTTGTGCCTTCCGATTCACTGAGCCACGCAAATATCAAAAGACAAAGGCTGGTCTGTGACTGTATATTGTAATCATCATTAGGAAAACAACACATGGTATTTATACATTTTTACAACAACAAAGACAGCTAACATCGTTTGAAATAATCGATCGCATAATCAATCACAATATGTGTGAGAAACGATGATATACTATTTTATGCGAGATCCTATCATAGACTTAATGCTACTGAATCTTTACACCTAATTAAATTGTTAATACTCTATATCCAAGCTGTCGAAAAACAGAATTAGTAAAAGTTATCCAAGTATGGAATGTTCAGAGACAGCCGAGAGAGAGAGAGAGTAACCATAAAAATATGTGAAAGTCAATCAACTTATAATTACATCTAATCGAAAATATGTAAGAGGAAAGGTTGGGCATGAGGCTAGCAATCCCATCCTGTAAAATAAACACTGCTACAGAAACTTCAAGCCACTAGCTTGAAGCCCTATGTTCCACTGGGGAACGTGAAGGAAAAAAAAATCGAAAAATAGTGCAACAAAGTGAATTTACAATAAAGAATATTGTTCATGCTTTCAAACAGGCTTTTCTTCCCATTTTCTTTATTATCACCAAAAGAATAATATTCTTTTCTTCTTATTGATATACTTTTCTGAAAAAATATATACCCATACACCAAATACATATTATTTCTCATAAACGTTAATTACCATATAGCAATTAATTGGTGGATGATGACTAGCAGTGGAATCCAGGATGCGCATTTCGTCCTATTTGGGACTCGTCAGCTAGATGTACCTGCATTTCTGAGTGAGTGATGATGTTCCCACCGAGGCTCGAACTCAGTGCCCATAGTTTCAAACGCCAAAGCGTTATCCACTAGACCACTTGGGCCACGAGAGCCACCTCTTGTTCAACGGGTCCTATTGATGACGAGTCCCAAATAGGACAAAGTGAACATCCTGGATTCCCCTGCTAGTCACCATCCACCAATTAAGTGCTAATTAAATGCCCAGACATCGTCGAAGCATCTGCTCAAGAAGCCGACATGTCAACCTGAGACCGAGCACTTCGGTCCAATCATCAATCGACGGGAAAATCTAAAATTCAATTAAAAGTTAATTAACATAGTTTACGAATTGATTCTTATTTGTATTTTTCGTCATTAATTTAACTGTAATCCGATCTGTGCGTGTGCATGTGCGCTTAACCCTTAGTTAAAAAAATTAACTGTCACTATGTGTTTAAACACATCCAGGGGACTAGTCTTGGATGGTAAAATGAGGAGAAATATGTTCTAGTTTTCTGTGTTTGCCAACAACATATCAACTACACAACATAACATATTAGGCTGATTAAATTCTTTGATTAAATATGAAAACGTTTCACATTTTACACTGATTAATCAACGTGCTGCGTGCACACCGTGACCTTGAAAATATTTTTCTTTCAAAAAAATATAGGTGAAATATTTTCGCTAGGTTATGTCTATTCTACAAAATTAATATAGGATAGACATACAACTTTTACATTCTATCCTATCCTATAAGATTAATATTAATATCCACTAGTTAATACACTATGGTTGGTTAGGAGTTTTGAAATTTGGACATCATCAGTATACATATATGCATATATATACTTCAGAATTTTTTTTGAAATACCTGTGCGTTACGTAACAAACACTAAGCGGACTAATTCTTATCACATCGTTTCTGTTGACAGTTGGAGTTTACAAACCTTTTTGATTTCGCTGAAAACTTTCAACAAACTTTTATTATGTCAACAATGATGTGTGCAAAGTGTGCTCGACCATTTACAAGTGGAAGCATTTTAAGTGCTTTAGATAAGAAATGGCATCCTGAATGTTTTGTATGTACTATATGTAAAAGAACTCTGGCCGATCAATCATTTCATGTGAAAAATGAAGATCCATTCTGTGCAAATTGTTGGAAAGAAAACTTTCAACCACGTTGTGCTGTAAGTAGAAAAAAATGAATAACAAAAGTTTAAAAATATTTATTGTTATATAGTAAATCACCTTATTGGTTTTTGTTTTAGTTAACTTTCCATGAACAGGTTTATATTATGAAAATATTACTTATACTATGTTTACAATCTAATGAAGTAGACCTTGAATGAAAACCAATCATTACATATAGCTTTTTATGAGTTAGTTATAGACTTAGTGAACTTTATTTCAGAAATTCACACTTTACTATACGAATTCAAAGTTGATTTATAATCTTCCTGAAAATACGGATAAACTCATTTCTAAATCGTTTCGTATAAAAACGTGAATGATACACTTGCATGTGTAAAATAACTTGGAGTTTGACTGGGAACTATCTGCAAATAGCATGGTGCTAAACTCTGTGATTCTAACTCTGAGGATCAGATATTAGAAATTGAGAAGATATTTGAATTTCCTCAAATTTGTGGATTTCCTCTGTTGATGAGCAAGAAAATTAGGCAAAACATATCTTTCCTCCTAGAGATTACTATCATCTTACACAAAATACTAAGATTTGTTCTCATTGTCATTCTGCCTAATGCGTATATAGTCCTATAACCAGTACAGGTGATGCGACTATGCATAACTTGTGTGTACTGTTCAATGGGCTCTTCTAGTTACCTGCAGGTTCTAGGTTCGATCTCCTATTGGATAATGTGTGTTTACCTCTTAAGAGTCCCAAACTTGGACAATAAAGCCGTTCAGTACTTTCAGATTTTCTATGGTTCTCCAAATGATTTCAATTCGTGATCTAAATTGAAACTACAAGTGGAAATAATCGACAAATTGTAACACCTCATCAATAGTCACCTAGTTTATGATTGGGTTAATAGTTAAATAATGTATGTATAATTCCATTTATTCTTAGTAACACTTTATTTCTTAAAAAATTTCAGTGTAAAAACAAGAAGCTCTACGTTATGAAAAATGAATATTTAATTACATATTACTCTTTTTCATGACAGTAGGACGAATTTTTTTCAGTAATGACAAAAGGAACTGAGTTTCTTGCGTCATCTGAATATGATTTATCAGTTTAGATAAAGCTTGAATTATGTTTCAGTTAAAATTTTCTTTGCATCCCACGTAAAATAAACCCAGGTGAATTCAAATACAACAACACGTATTTGTAGTTGTCTACATTGCAGAAATGTCATATTAATTTATGTTATAAACTGATTCTGTCTGAATCTATAAATACTATTGTCGACATGTATGATAAAGGAAGATCAAAGCTCTCTCTCTATACATATATGCTGCTTGGTATTTAAAAGTCAAGAACTAATATAATTTTGTATTCACCTTGTGAAACGAATTCTAGCATACACTGAAAAATAATGCTAAGAGGTAGATAGTTTAAGTTTTGAGAAAAAAAAGAGGGAAACTTGAAAGTGGCTAAACACTTCATTTTTTTAAAAGAAAATCAACATGTAGCGCATAAATTGAGGGCGTATCCACAACATTTCATTTAACGAGGGCAAGAGAATTCCTGTAATATCTACCGAAAGTAGAATCACATTTCAACATTTGGTTTTCATTTTTAAAGGTCAACATTAGAAAAAATTAAAGTTCCGCATAACAAATAGACGGTAATTTAGTTGTATCAGTGTAATAAATAATATGGTAGGCGGATATTTGTGAACATAGAAATCTTTAAATTACGTGTAACACTCAAAGCATAAAACATTGAATTTGGAATTACATATAATCCCTAAATGTATTAAATGGTAATTATTATATTGCTAGACTGAAAAAAATTTAAAGGCTTCCAACAGTTACGTCTTGCAGAAAATCCAGAGACAATTTCAAATCCATATGAATGCGTTGAGTAAGTTTGGCTGGCAGCTACATTGAAAACCGTTCTTTTATATTGTTCCAACACGAGTGGACTGAATTGTATTGCAGTATTCAATGTCCTACTTTATAAGTGGAAAAAGAGAAAGTTACAGATATATTCATTGAGTCAACAATTACTTCATCAAGTTACCTTCGCAGTACTGACCGTGTGTACTAGATTCACTACGTGAAAAAGTGTTAGGAAAAATATATATAATGTAACATCTACCAGTGTGGCTAAGTAAAGGTGTAGTAAAAACCATCAGCAGTTCGACATTAGACCACCTGGTCCAAACTGGCCACAAAGACAGCATTGAAGAATCCTTCTCTATCATCTATTGGGTACTAAATAAATTGCTAAAAACATTCAGGTACCGCATACTCCAAACAGCAGATGCTATCTCGATTCGCCTTAAACAACCGGTGCTCTGTGTGCAGAAGAAGCAAGTCCAGCCACTACTACTGCCCTCGCCGGCCTTCAGTGGAGACTATAAATTCATGAATTTGTATAAATATCTTTCCTAATTTTTCTGATACCCATTGTATTGTTATGTTGATGCTATGGAACTGTAATCTATCGATATTATTGATTCGATGTTACTTAAACAACATTAATGTTGTTCATAACACTAATTCATTCACTGTTATGCATGTATAACTACAGAACCTGATGAAGAAGGCATTATAGGAAAGAATATTCTTTGTTCAGTAACCATTCTTTTGAAAAAATTTAATGGGCATTTTTAATCAGTTATAATGTAAAACAACTAAGTCATTTGATAAATTTACAGGTTCCCAATGACTAAAGTGATTATGAGAAGATTTCTGATCATAGTGATAGGGTGTTATATAGATTGTGTTACTAGCTGAAATATAGCCGGTTCAGAAGAAGACTAAACGTCTTCAGAGTAGGACAGAAACTCAACCTGATTATTTCAGATTCATATTTTAAAATATAAATTTTTAACAAAGTTTGAGTGAAAAGTGGACTTTATTTTCAAAGATTTTAGAGAATGTGATACTGGTCAACCTTACCAGAGCATGATGTTACATTTATTTATTTACTTTTATCTTTGTGTCTTGTATGTACTTACACTTCTCCTGTTTTCCATGTATCATTTTCTGCTCAATGTGTAAATGTAAGATATAACAACTGAAACCATTACGTAACAATTTTAGTTGACACTGAAATCAAACCTGTGTCATTTTGCTAAAAGATATATAAATAGTGATTATGCATTAGTAAAAGGTTACTTTGATTCTTAGGGCGTCAAAATGTTCAGGTTTATCCATCCAGTATGTGAGTTAATTTAAAACTTTTACTAAAAGTTCACTATTAATCAAACAAATGTTGACTAGAGATTACCAATAATAAATAATATAGACTGTTAAACGTCTGATCAGGCTAAGATATTTTGGGTTTGAAAATTATTATCCTTGAAGTAGTTGTAACCTACTGCTTTAAGCGAAGATGCCTAGATGACACAGAAAATATTCAAAACCTTGCTTTTTATAAAGTAAGACAAAGTTCAAGAATTACTAAATACGAGATAAAATTCTAGTGTTGTCATAGTTAAGAACTTGCAGGTCTACAGACAAAAACCAACAAAATGGCAGAAGAGGCAGCCAAGACAGGACTTCAAGTGAACATGGAGAAGACTTTAGTGATGAAGATGCCTAGCCAACAACAGTAACCATCAATCACAGCCAGAGGGAGAAATCTGAAGGAAGTCATCTCTTTCGCTTCGTTTCAAATACAGGCAACACGGATGCCAAAGCGAGGATCCGATCGGATCAGAAAGGGAAGACAGAGCTATACTTCACTGAAATAAATGTGAAAATCTGATGTATTTAGTATAAACAGCAAGCATCGAATTTTCAACACTTCTGTCGAATCATTTGGCTTGTCACCAAAAGCATTTCAAACAGACTACAAACTATCATCAACATCTGGCTATACTCCACACTGAAAATAAGATACTCAGAAAGAATAGACCACAAGGGACTCTGGAAACCAACCAACCAACATATATGCAGAAGAAAATGTATATGGATTGGACGCAGGCTGTGGAGACCTTTGAGTGACAACACATCCAAGGCCAATGAGTGAAACCTGAATGGATAACGATGAGTTGGACTTGGATCCGTGGGTGTCATGGAGGAGGTCGTGTGTGTAGAGAAAATGGTAGCTAATGATCAATCGTGAAGTCATCCAGAAAATACCGCAGAGAACAAAGTGAAGTGGAGATGCAATTCTGAAGTCCGATGTTTCACTACGAACCAGTCTAAATTAATAAAGTTTGTTTTTGCAGGCATATCAATAGTTTCACCATCTAAATATACAATGGAATTCATTCTAAACTGCATAAGAAAGCTTTCAGTTATATTATTACTGTTGACAAACTAATTCTCTTATGTTAACAACTAATCACATGAAGTGTTTTGTGTTCCTGAAAAACAACAGTCTTATGTTTATAGTTGTTATATATATATATTTGACTGCTAAGGTAAAGTAATCTATTTCTTTGCGAAAACATTTGTTCATCGATGTATATGTAAATCGACATAGTGGTTGATTGCACACCACAACAAAATATATTATAACACCACACATGAATACAAGAGAGGAGAAGGGAAGAAATACTTCATGTGTCAATAAAATGAATGGTTAAGCCCTTATATAATAATAATAATCATAAAAATATGTGCCCTAATCATAACTATTATCATTTTATTAATAGTAATATTAATAATAATAATAATAACAATCCATTTGTACTATTCTACTAGTTTGCACTGAAATACACAGTACAAATAAAGGTATCCGCTTGCATATAAACAATCATATGCGCAAACATTTGTGAAAAACAAAAGAAAAACAACTGTCCAAAAGATAGAATTGTGTATAGAATTACAACATTTGAAAAAAAAAGTTTTTTTTCTACTGTCACTCTTTGTTGTAAGGCAAATATTCATTAATCTATTTAGGTATTCTATTCATTCACGTAAATTTGCACAACTTGTGTACCTTTAAGATAATGTGTTTCCATCTCAAAGTATGAATCCATATGATTAATTATCATAAAAGTTTGTTGGGATCCTTCTCACATTAATAAATTTGACCATTATC